CAGTATGATGACTGCGCTTCAACGTAGCAGTTCGCGTGCCAAAAAGTATCACCAGTGCTGAGTTATGGGCAAAAGTGAGACCCCAAGCTAAACTTGACACACATCTTTCTGACAAGTGTGCCCTCCGATCTGCCACCAGGAAACGCTCTCACTCTCCCACCTGAATGTCTTTCAAGCCTAGAGGCAAGTGTGGGTAGAGCAGCCTCAGGCGTAGCGCACTCGCCTCACAGAGCGTGAGGTGCTACGAGTCCCGCTTGGCCTCAAAAAGACTTTTGCTCATAACTCAGTGTCGTGGTAACTTGGACGCAAAGGGCACAGTGGCGAGAAGGTCGCAATTGCTACCATTGTCATTGGTGGAAGGGCTGATGGCGTTCGGCCATATCCTGCCCTTCATCCAATTGACCTTGGCAGCAACCGCCCGCCCCAGCCATCATCCCTACTGCCTGTCAGGAACAGCTTAACTAAGACGGCTTTGTTGATCGGCAACCTCTTAGAGTTCTAGAGTTTACAGGGCTTGGATGGAGATGCGAAATCGACCTGCACGTTCATCTCCATTTCCTTCACTTTTTGTTAAACTGAAACGTGGGAAGCGAAATTCTGGAAAGCATTCTGCCAAAAAGGAGCGAAAACGGTCACGGGTTGTATATCATCAGGACGACGAGCAGTGCTCTGCAGATACCTGTCTAAAACCGTACGGTAAGAATTTTTCGCTGAAGCGAAATTTATTTATTGTCTTGTTCGGCCCTGAGGCAGTCACGTCAAGGTGCCGATGAAGTTCTTCCTGAACTTCCGCTTGTTGACGCTTTCCGCTGAAGGGCTTATTGAAATTTATGGTTGCTGAAAATGCAAAGGGTCCAGTGTATCCCCAGGCGCAGTTCGGCTGGGGAAGCAGGGGAGGGGACTTTGCTCTCCCCTGCTGCCCCAGCTGGATTTTGGGGACTCTCTTTGCTACCTCCCAGTGTCCAGTTCATTGCTTTATGACAGTTGTAGGTATCCTTCACTAGAGTTTACAAGTAGTTTCTACAGACCTTAACTGCTATCACCTTATGGCTTTACAGTGTTTCACAAATGTTTTGATGGTTCATTACGACGTGGGAAGTGGTCAAAATGCGAAGTGTCCCATCCCAAGCCGAACTATGCTGTGTCTCCTTTCAGTTTTCATTTCCGTGAACATCGTTGACAGTATAAACTACAAGGTTCCTAAGGAGAGGTGCGTTTAGGTGAAACCGTGGGATGGATATTGTGCGAAGCTGGCTGCGCTCGTTGGTATCATTACGTGTGTATTGGTATGACAGCCGAGAGTGCAAAATCTTTGCCGTCGTATATTTGCTACCGTTGCAACAATACTGTGCAACAAATTGCACAACATCCAGTGGCTGTTTGATCGCTGCCTTTCAGGCTCTCCCTTTTTTCACCGCTTTTTTTTCTTTCTTTGCACTTTATCGCAAATTGTTAGGCACTTGAACACTTATTTGCTATGAATTTGTTGTGATATTTAGTCGAACCTATGTGCGAATTGTTTTTCTCTGCTTTGAATTTCTGTGGTACGTATGACGTACATTAGATATAATCGAGCTCGTTACTTTGTACATTATCTTTATCAATCATGTGGCCTGAACAAACTGGTCCGAAACCAAAAAGTGGGCGTGGCCCAATACCAAAAGTGGGCGGTTTCGTCCCGTGAGTTTTTTTTTGCTTAGGCGCTAATTGGAGCATTGTACACGATCTTTCCCCCTTCATAGGTATTGTGCTGAAGTTGGCGATTATGGAATCAGGTGGTGCTTGGAAGGCACACTGTACCAGGTAGTTGGATCCCTTCGGAGTGCGAGGCGAGGTCCTGCCGTGGAAGTGTAGCACAGCCACTTGAAAGTTAGCTGTAATCTAGCTAGAAGCTTGCAATAGCTTGATGCTCATTATAAGTCTGTCCGCTATTCGATACCTGATACGCACGCCATAGCCACGCAACACGCCATACGTTTGGCCCAGTGTTCAGACTTCGCGTTGAGGCGCAACGCGCCCTAATTGTAATAACATTGCAATCCTGTAAAGCGAACTCAGCCGCAGAGAGAGATCGATCGACGCCACCGGCGCCGCCCTAGCGGTCGGTCCCGGTCGATGCCAGACTCGTGATCAGTCAATAGGTACCCTCCATTTCACCCCTCACTCTCAATACACAAGCCATCGATGGATCTCCATCTGCGGGTGCGTTAGCGTCTATAGGAATGTAGCGATGTTGCAATTGTTGCGCGTTGCGAGTCGACGAGCGTCATCGCGAAGTCTGAACGCTAGGCTAGCTGTATGGCGTGTTGCGTGGCTATGGCGTGTGTGTAACGTATCTACTAGCGATTCCAAGCGGAACGACTATCAACCTATCATAAACTTCTTAGCTTCAGTGTTGCTTACTTTCGGAGGATAGGGTGGTGCGCTTCTCCTTCTAAAAGCCTGTCCACCTAGCATACAGAAGGGAGCCTTGTCTCAAATTCTTGTATAACGAATTTTAAATCCGCTCGCTATGTTCCGCGTGCGACAAATTGTCGATAGGGCCGTGGTTTTACCAAAAAAGTCTCTGATTAGCATCTGGCCACTGTATTACTTTTGATTTTAGATTGAAAATCAGACGAATTTTTCCAAGAGGTATATAAAATAACGAGCAAATATACGTAATAATACTCTAGCATCATTCTGTTCAGCTTTGCTAAGTCGAGCTTTTAGGTAATCTGCTCTTTCGGGTGACGAAAAATTGACAGAAATTTTCATTCACTCCTTTCATTGTTTCTTGTCAATGATTCTCCGTTCAAGGCTTTTTCCAGGACAGTTTTAATAGTTATGTCAATATGTTCTTGGAAGAAAATACCAATTTTGTTTCTAGGTTACCAGTGTACATTATCTCATCATTGATGAGATTTAGCCAAAATTTCTTCGACCACTGACGCAGATGTTTTGTTTTCTGTTACTTATTAAACATAGTTTTTCCTATTGTTTGTAGATTTTTGTGAAAGAAGGGCAATGCTAATTCGAATGGTTCGTTCCCCTACCTATCGCCTTTGGGACGGACTGCTAGGATATGTACAGTTGCTGGACGAGACAAACTGTACACTCACCTCGGTGAATTCTAGTTATTGCCATTGAGTTGACGCAGCAGTAATGTAGCAGCTACAATAATGTAGCATACCGCTTCTAATCCGCTCAGAAGCGCACATAAATGAGTCGTCTCCTTCCTCCGCTGAGGCTGCAGCGAGGTACAGCCCACGCCCAACCATAACCAAAGGCTCATTGGTCCGCCTCCTCACACTTTGGTTGTTTTCAACCTCTGGGTACGTGTCCACTGCGGTATTTTGGTATGGGCGCAAATGCTGCACCTCGAGGATAGCGCCGGTGAAATCGGTGAACAGCATTCGGGTACCACTGTCCTTAGCTCGGTCTCACTTTTGAGAGGAGAGAGTTTCACGCTAGTGCAGCTGCGAACTAGTCCACCACCTGGAAAGGACATTCACGTCCTCGGATGTGGGTGTACAGTATGTTTTTAAGCTGTGAGCTTGCTTAAGCCTTGCTTGGAAATCAAGGTCAAGGCCTGTTGGTCAAAGAAGGATTATCACATGATATCAGTACATCAACACGCAACTGATAATCACTTACGCGGTAGTTGGCCGAATCAAATCCAAGTAGCACTCCATATTCCAGATTGTTATGGAATGTATGACGTATCACTTTCGGTATAACAGCTCTCGATGAATGTACCCTAAAGTCCCTTAAAGGCAGTTGGCACGAAAATTTGGTATTCGGCCTGAAATGCGAGCAGGGCTATATGGGGTGATGAAAAATAGCGAAAAAATGAGTGAAACGGCTAAAAACCTGGTAAGAAAAGCCTTCGTTTAATGACTCAAAAGCAATTTTGGACGAGTTTCCCGCAGGCAGCTTGCCAAGGACCGCTGTGGTAGGTACGACTGCACTTATGTGCTCATATAGCCATGTAGCACCGCAGCCGGTTTTTATCAATCCCTTTGCTTCATAGTTTACTCAGCAAATAAAGCAATACGTGCGTCAGGTACGGTCGTCCATTTGTGGGCGGGCGGGCGTGGTGGGCGTTCGGGTCGGTATGTTGTAGCTTGATAGGGCCCTTATAAGGGTACCTTCCTTGGAAAAGGCGCTACGCAGCGCCTGCTCAGGGTCGCGGAATTCCGTCCTGCCAGGCGTATCAATCCTACCCGTCTTAAAAATCTGAGGAGTTTGTCGCGTCAACTGCTTAAATGAGTCCGTCATTACATCTCTGCGAGACGTTGCTATCGCCGCGCGAGCGAAGCAAGTAAATGGGATGCTGTAAGTTGTGAGTCAGTTCTCATAATCAGAAGTTCCCGAAGTGGGATCTTCTCGCATATTTCGTACCTAGGCCGAAAAAATTTATAAAATAAAAGGTAAGAGCTGGTTGATTGAAAAAACTGATGTAAGATGGATAAGGAACGGTTTTTAGCCAACAATAAAGAGAAAGAGAAGCCTATAGGAAGGTTATAAGACGTGCCGTTACCGTACTGTCAAAACGTAAACAGCAATAGGAGCGCGCCAAAAGACCGCCTCTCTTCAGAAAGCAGTTTCGAACGAGTTTCTCAATAATCGTTACGTTGGGAACGGGTGCATGGTACTTGTACAGGGGGGAGGGGCAAAAAAGACACTTCGGCCAAGTCACATATCAGCAAAGTTTTCGCAGCCCAGACAGAAGACGTGGATACGAGTACCAGGGCGGAAGATACCCAAGATGTTCCTCGATAAGCAGGAGCAGGCTCTCGCCCATCACCTTCATGTACACCAAAATATGAAGTCATCTCCAATCGCAGCCGGACTGGAGAAGGCCTATGGAATTCACGTCACCTCCTCCAAACAGCTGCGAAACTTCTTGTATGGAGTCACCCATGGACAGCTACCTGGGGACCGGCACTCTTGATCTGGAAGACCTCCAACATCGAGCAGCTCCGACAACGTCGCTACGGTCTAGGACATCATCTTCACCGTCGCCAAGGCGCGGGTTGATGGTATGGACCGGAAGTTCCTGGAATGGGAAGACCGATATTTTCTTCGTGGACCCCGGACTGAAAGTGAGCGCTGACGGTTACATCGAGCAACTCGAGGAGAATATCCTCCCTTCCATGTCGTCGCCCGTACCTATCTTGGAAACTTTGTACTGCTACAGGATTGGGTGCCACCACATGGAATCGAAGGGCGTTGGAAAAACTCTCGCCTACTTGGAATGGAAAGGGCGTTGAGTACCTGAAGAAGGTGGAATATCTAAGCAGGTCACCTGACCTAAACCCCCTCAATTACCTGAGTTCAATAGGGTGGTCTACAGTGGCGGAGAAATCAACGATCTCGCTGAACTCAGGCACCCACTCACGGTCGCGTGGCAGAATCTCTCGATGGCGCTCCGTCCAGAAGGCTGTGGCGGAGTATCGTGATAGTGTACAATAGTAACTTATATTGCCTTGAAAGTCGAGGAAGAAGTGTCTTTTTTTGCCCCTTCCCCCTGTATATCCATGCAGGACTCAGCTGCTTCATATCAGTCCCTTCTCTTTATCTCGGAACTTCGCAATGAATACGGGCACCAGGATCGGTCGAACATCTGTGGGCAGGTAGGCGCGTTGGGCGCTCTGGTCGGTAAGCTGCAGCTTGACAGGCGATGAGGGCATCTTCCTTGGGAGAGGCGCCCGGAAGCGCTTGCTCAGGGGCGCCAGATTCGGTCTTGCCAAGCGTAGTGATCCCACACGTCTTGGGGATTTAGAAAGCCAACTGCCTTCAAGGGTTGTAGGTTTTGCACCCAGTACGAAGCAGTGAAAAAGCCAGCCTCTACCGATACAACATGTGGCAAACCACTTCACCGCTTAAAGGCAGTTGGCACGATAAATCCCTGAAGACGAGTAGGATTAATACGACTGCATGACAGAATTCCGCGACCCTGAACAGGCGCTGCGTAGAGCCTTGTCCAAGGAGGGTGGGACGAGGGAAGGGTGGGAGGAGGGAAAAACTCACCCATGTGCGTATGCGGCGCGGTTTCTTCACGGGCGGAGCGAAAGGCGATGGCCCACGTCTCCGGCGCTGTGCTCCAATCCAGCAGCCTCTTTTATGTGGAAGGAAGAGGAGGGAAAGTAGAGAGAGGAAGGGAATTGAACAGATAGTGGGTGCATATGTGAGTTAGTGGTAGTGGTAGGAGATCACAGAAAAGTCGACTATCACGAATTACTTCAGTGAATGGCAGAACTGGCGGCATAGTTCCCTTCGATTGTGAAAACGACGCAAGCAGCTTTTACTTCAAGCTGAGGTTTGGCAAATTGCCAACAGTTGGTTGTGACCTTATAACGCTATAACGTCACGTCCCATTCGAAGGGAATCATTCTGCCA